ACTACTCACAACAACAACAACTACTACTACTCACAACAACAACTACTCACAACAACAACTACTCACAACAACAACAACAACAACAACAACTACTACTACTACTCACAAGAAGAAGAAGAAGAAGAAGAAGAAGAAGAAGAAGTAGAAGAAAACACATCACTGCGCAATGAGCTTGTTTGGTCCTTACGCTTGATCTGCCGGGGTTTGCTCTGCTTCCTCCGGGACATGGTGGCTCTTCTCTCCGACCAGGGAGCCCTCTGTGACGGACAGAAGGAGCGGCCGAGGAGCGCTCTGGTTCTTCTGTGTTCTTCTGTGTTCTCCCGTGTTCTGCTTCTTCTTCTCTCTCTCCTCACGGTTTATTGCTGCGACGCGGCGCTCCGATCAGCGACCGGAGAAATCCGCATGACCCGCCTGCACTTTGGTATCTTCTGCCACGACAGCTAGCGTGGGGCCAACCTGTGGCTGAGTCTGCTTACTGGTCACTGTCCTCCCGGTTCTCTTCTTCACAAAAACAATGCCTTCGCCTCACCTCCCTCTCCGTTCTCCCGCTTAACGTTATTCCTTTCACCGGGCGAGCCACCGCCGCATTCCCCGGCGCGTCTGTGAGCAAACACAGTGAGCCTGTCTTCACAAACACCGACGCCGGTCAATAGTAGCTGTTATCCGCTGTTGTTTCTGTGAAGTTTCGTCTCGCCGGTCCGCCCACTTGTCCTCCTGTACCGTCACTGACCCGGGAGCCACTTTCAATGGAGCACGAGCGCTGCAGCCAACTCCGCTTACTACGGAGGCGCGCCTCTAACACGCCCCTTACGTCTGACGTGTGGCACCGCACTCATCTCCTATTGGATCAAAACTATTCCACGTACAGCAGGACATTTCTAATCTATCACTATGAAATCAAATATTATACTCGTACCTTTACTGCATGATGATTAACTACATAAAATACTCCATAACATAAATAAATCATTAGTACATTCTCTCAGTATTCTGTATCTAACAGGCACCGTGACACTTTAAATCTTTAAATATGAATATATATATAAACCCATATCGCTGTTTTGTTGTATAATGGAAAAAATAAATAAGGGATATGTTTAATATCTCAAAGTAATTGTTGCCTCTGTAAGTTGAACGTACATTGTGAGTCTGTATGTCTGCTGTCACAAAGCTTTCCATGTTCTTCCCCAAATGAAGAAGAAAAGTTCTCAAGAATTCCTTGGCACTCAGAAGTTTTTAGTTTTGTCCAAATTATGATTTCCATGTAGTTTCCATGCAGTGTGTCACCCCGAATATCTTGGTATCATTATAGAACATTGTTATTTCATCCAGTGTGAGAGACATGGTACTGCTGCTGCTTTCATTGTACTGTACTTTGGTTCCTGTTGAGATGTGATACAGACATGAGATTAGCAGGATTTCCTTTTGGGCTGACGGCAGGCTGCTTTAGTTTCCTGCATGGATGACTCAGATTGAAGTTATCGCTTTAGGTACTGCTCAAAGTGTAAAAGCAGCATTAGATATGCTGTATATTAAGGGTTTGAGGACACACGTGGTAATGGGTTTTTGTGTTTAGACAATATTTGATTGAAGTTGGTTTCAGTCCCTAATATGAACACTAGCTCATAAACAGCAGGGGATATCAAGTGGTGAGTGTTTCATCACATACTCCATCAAGATACCGATTAAGCATTTTAATAACTTCATTTCTATACTGCAGGGACATGGTACATTCATCAAGAACGATATATTTAGTACCTTTTCAGAAATTGATTTATATTATTGGAATTTAATTTCTAATATTCATAACATTAGAAAGTCAGTTTGAAGGTTTGTGTACATCCATCAATTGAAATAACAGATATGACAGCACACTACAGAAGATATCACATATCCTCCATATCAACAAACCACATGACTCAAGAAACCTGGATGAAGACATGAAGTTTCATTTCTTCCAGGGATTCGAACCAGCAACCCTTTGGGTCACACACTTGCTTTTCCAGATGAGCTCCTGCGGTTTTGCCCCCAACATGGAGAGAAGCTGGAGTCTGGCTTCTGACCAGCTAACCTCACTGGTGCCATCTAGTGGCAAATCAGGACAGTAGCTTCCAGAGAGCTTATTGGTCGGGCACGTCACACCGCGCAGTAACATGGAGACACAGCGGCAGGGCTGAGAGGATGGTAGACTGGGAGGAGATTCTTCTTTAGAGGACGATCTACTGGGCTTAGTTAATGATAATGGTAACTTGCAGCCTACACACCCATGCATGTACCTGAAGGTCTCAGTAAAGTGTTGTTCCACCGTTGGCCTCCAGAGCAGCGTTAGTGCTCCTTGTCATAGATCATAGAGTGTGAGGGACTCGACAGGAGTCTTCCTCCCAAAGATATTCTTTCATTTGGTGTTTGATGGAAAGTAGTCTAAACACGTCACATACGTGTGCACTTGGGTTGAGATTCTGTGTGACTCTTTCACAGACAACCATTCAGTGAGCCCTCATGACTTGTATGAAAGCATCTGCATGCGTTATGTTTCCATACTCATTCATACATATTTCTTTAATTTGTCTCAGCCAGTGAAGGCACTATCTTTACTGACATGGCAGCCTGTGTATCACTTAACAGTCTTCATCACTTCTCTGTGCAGCATCAGGTAGTGCTTCGGACATTTGTGCAGCTTACTGAATAATGTTGGTCATTAATCCAAATTCCAGACTGTTTGTTTGGACCATGACATCATATCTTGATGTCAATCTCACTTGTTTATTTTTATTTTCAAGTGGTCAGCTCAAGATGACAGACAGGGGTCAGGCTGTGTTTTAAATATAATTATTTTAATGGCATTATTCACATTGCGCAATATGAACAAAATAGCAAAACAAAAGTCATCTCCTGCCAAGAATGACAGATGTGACGAACAGAACGACCGTATTAGTGGAGTCACTCCCGTCCACATTTCAAGGGTAAGAAAACATCAACTTTGAGAGCTGCTGTTGTTTACAGGTGACGTGATGACTCTGCAAGCTTCTCTGAGAAATGTTGTAAAACTCATTTACTCAGTCTGGTGGACAGCTCGTAGCTCCCAAATAAAGGTTTTTTATCTATAGTGCTGACTCAGCAGGGGAATGAGGAGCAGTTGAGTGAAGGCCCACATTTATTTGATTTGATTTCTATAAGCCAATCACATGTTCCACATCATCTGAAGGGGACTGCTGCTCTCATGCTGGTAGTATGCGCACTGTGCATACTTTCTCTTTTTACTTTGAGTCCATGCTGCAGCTGCTGTTCTGTTGCATGCAGCATTCGTTCAGTTGGGATACTCTACTTCCTCATAACATTCACCTTCAACTTTGACGCTCCCACCGATGTATCTGCTGCACAGAGGATTGTGGGTCAGAGAAGCCAGTGAAGCTTGGTGGCTTGCATTTTATTCACAATGTGAGCGGATGCAGTAGGACATCCTGGTACTGTTGGCCTACTGCATTTGACACACTATGTATTGGGACACACGACATCTTTTTCTGGCATACTAAATAATACGGCAGTGTGGGTATTGGCACGCACATTGAAGTATCTTGACTACAATGAGTCTGATTGTATGAACTTGAACTGAACTTTATGGATCTGTTCGGTTCATTCAAGTCAGGTTTTGGACTTTAAGCCCCACGTTTGTTTGCGTGCTTTATGGAGTGGGCTCCTGGCTAAGGTTGTTACAATAATCACAAACAATACAAGCAGACAAATACAACTGTCACACATTACATGGGTTGAACACAGAGCAGGTAAATGAATGAATGTCAGCATCTGGCTGAATTCTTGACAGAGCTGGTTAAAGGTCCAGTGTGTAGGATTTGGCGCCATCTAGAGGTGAGGTTGCAGGTTGTAACCAGTAGAAACTTCTCATGTGTGTCAGTGGGGCCAGAAGGAAGTGAATGTACAGTTAAAGTTGCAGTTTGCAGAGAAATAAATGCCCCCCCCTGGCAAATAAAATCATTTTACCATACTCTGTCTCCTGTGGTCTTGCTATTGGGTCCTAACTGTGAACTCCCGTGACACAGACCTCTTTGACTGCTGAATGAACTTCACTTAGAGCTGCAGTGTAAGGATAGACTAGCATGTGACCAATAAGATCAGTTCAGTAAACAGTCTCAAATCAAGCTGCAGCTGCTCTCTGTATTTAAGAAGCGCTTTACTGACTCTACGTCCATTGAGTCCATTGTGAGCTATCTGTGGGTACTGATGTGGACGACTCTGCCTCTCAGTGTCACTGTTTCCTCCGGACAGGTCTGCTGCTGACAGTTGAGGTTCTCACACTGCTAGATGACATAGATATCAAATCCAGTGCAACACCTGATGAGAATGGAGAGTTCTGGAACCTACTGGTGGAACAAAAGTAGCCCAACCTCAGAAGATGTGCCTTGAACTTTGATTAAGCCTTTTAACTTTTCTTGACATTTCTTCTGTTTATTGAATGCAAATAGAATATGCATGTATGTATCAGTAATACAGCTCCCTGTTTCTATCTACTGGAGTCAATGCATTATCTTTGTGGTGATGTTTATGTGTTGCTTTGTCTTTGCTAACATTGCATGTTGTACGTGGCATTAAAAAAAAACAATTATGTAAATTCCAAACAATACATCTAATAGAGCCGTGAATGATCTTCTCCTCACAATGACTTGAATTCCAACCTCAGGGCAGATGATCATTGTTTACTTCTTGACCGACTGGAAAGCAAACTTGGTGTCTTGGGCCTGGCTTTCCTGTGGTTACAAAGTCATCGTGTTTCCTTTAATAATACTATATCAATATTTTCTGATGTGAAATATGGAACACTACAAGGCTCTGTACTTGTTCCTCTATAAAGCACACGTAGATTAAAAACCTCAGTCCTGGATCTGAAGGAGTGGGTCAGCTGAAGTGTTAAACATGCCTTGAGTTGCTATTGTTTGCCAAGTTTGTACCTGTCTCACCAGACCTCTGGGAATGGTTGAGCTAGTTAGTAGAAAATAGAAGCTAAAGTTAGCTAGCAAGCCTGACGCTAGTGCATTCATGTACTGTACGTCTGACGTTTTACATTAGGGCCCGTACACACGACGTTATAGGCTCCCTTCTATTTCAGACACACTAGAGGGAAACTCAACTTTACTTTTTGCAATGTTTCATCATATTCTGATTGAAATCTCTTCTATGGAAACATATTGCTTTGTGGTGTGGTGGGTAACCTCGTCTTTGTGCCTGATGTTGCCTGTTTCCACTCGTTTGGGCACCGCAGGATTTTTGTCATCTCTGCCAGCGCAGTGTCTCACCTCTCTCACTCACAGTTGTGAGAGTATAGTTCTATACAGTATATATATAGATATTAGTGCTGGGCAAGTTAACACGTTATTATCGCGTTAACGCATTCATTAATTAACGCCAACAATTATATTATCGCGGGTTAATGCAGTTTTATTTTTTATTATTAAGCGGACATTTTTAACACAAGAACCGGGCAGCGAGCGGTGAACAGTGTTTGTGTGGCGTCTCTTCCTGCTGCTGTCGCTCTCCCCCCACCGGGCGACACGCCAGATCCTGAACCGTCGGTCCCTCCTGTCTCACACACACACACACGCACACACACACACACACACACACACACACACGCACACACACACACACACGCACGCGATCATCTCGTTACAGGATCGTGACAATATCAAAACACATATTGTGGTGTTTTTAAATGAACATATAAGCACGAGAGAACAAACTGCTCTTAACTCAACTCTTTATTAGCATAACTTCCACATGCAGGCTACTGCCACGGTACAGACTACAGGTCTGCTTCACCTACATTCCCCTGGGTCCTAAGTCCCTCCATGTACAGCTTCTTATCACCCTGTATGTACCAACGTACATTTATAACAAATACCACACATATCACGGTAAAAAAGCAAAAAATAAATGATTCATTTAAATTATATTTTTAGAGTTTTTAAAGTGTTTTGTTTGTAATATGTATAATAAGCATCATTTAGTATCACTACTGAGAATTTAACAAACATAAAAACATGAAGTAGATAGGTTTGCAGTTTTCAAGGTGTATATTTAAATTGCATCTCTTACACACATGAAGATAAAGATGTGAACACCGGCTGAATATCTATGATCAGAATCATTATAACTGTGTTATAACTGCTGCTGTTGTTAGACGTGTTGGAGTGTTTTGCGAAATTGTGAATGCCCTCTACACGGAATGCCCTGGTTATTAGGTGCCCTGGTTATTAGGTGCCCTGGTTATTAGGTGCCCTGGTTATTAGGTGTTAACAGGCACCGTACTGCTGCTCAGCAAAACAACGAATAAAAAATTTAGAAAAACAAAAATGTAACCTAGAGAGGCATAGGGCTCTGTGTCTCTTGTAAGATGGCGCCTGCTGCACGGACGTGCAGTTACGAGATACACACACACACACACACATTAGCGGGCCTTGTAGGGGCTTTCCAGGTGACCAAGTGGTGGGGTATGTAACCTACTTTCCGGGTGACAGATGAGGGTGAGGTGATGTTTTCACAGCCTTACACATAGTTTCACACAGGATTCAACAGCTGCTGATGTTTGCATTCTGCATTAACCCTAGAGCTGGTCAACCATTAGCCCTTGACCGAGCAGGATGACCGCATACCTGCACACACATTTTTACTTATTCACTTTTTATGTTTACTTTAAGCTTCGGTTAGGGTCTCATACAGTCTAACGTAAGGCATCGGACCGCGTCCGCATTCTTGCCCCTTAACGGGCAAGGCTCCAAAGGACATAGGCGCAATTTATGCAGAAGGGTATATATATGACAATACCCTGGTATTAATCTTACGCTGGGCAAAATCGTTGCCCAGCACTAATACTGTATATATATATATATATGATATATCTATGGTAAGTTTGGATTGTATCATCAAATTTTCTTGTATGAGTATTGTGTGGCCCCACCAAAATGTTCACACCAAAATTGCCACTGTTCATGTCAGCCTATGGAGATATAATAACAATATAGATAGACAGTAATTCTCAAGCACATTTGCAGGCACGATTCATCACTTCCTGCTCTCCATCTGAATTTCACCCGATGTAACAGTGTAATGAAGGCCCTCTCCATTACAAGCATCTGTACACTGCTTTAAAGAGCACCAATGTATGGTTCCTGGAGACACCATGTATTCATGATAGAGGGGTGGTAGTAAAGTTGAATTCCCTGTTGGGGCTTTATATGATCTGTGATGTGTAACAACCATAGAGAGCATGCAGATGATTGGCATTAAGATGTTAGGAATGTCTTTGAATGTCTTTCTTATGCTTTAGGTCATTGTGCTGTCAGGTGAGGGGCACAGTTACCTGTACTGTAGTGGGGTTGAGGTCCTCGTCAGTAGCAGACTATATAAGGTTGCCAGATTTAATCAAGTCGCTGCCAGGACCACATGCTGCCCGTGGTCCACATGCTGCCCGTGGTCCACATGCTGCCCGTGGTCCACATGCTGCCTGTGGACCATTATGTAATAAGATGAGTGTCATGTATTGTGATCATTGTTGGTGAAATAAACACCTGGTTGGTTTGCACCTAAACTCTGTGTCAGTCCTCCTGCTTCCAAAGTCCAGCCTCTTTCTGGCCCTCCTAACAAAGAAGCCATCGTGTGATCGGATCAGTCCACGGGTTAGAGTGCAACAGTGAAGCTTTATTTGATAGAGGAAGAGGATCAGGCTTTGGATACACATAATTCATTGTTTGTCCAACACTGCTTTATCTTCTCTTCTCAGTGGAGGACAAAGTGAGAGAAGAATGTCATCCAGCTGTCAGAATATTCAGGACCACTTCTTCACTACTCGGGATCATACGGCAGCAGGAGTCTGCAGAGCAAGCAAAGGTTAGGAATCTCTAAAGAAACAACCAACGAGATGTTTGACAGCAGTACTTTTGAAAACACATAAAACACATAAAACACACAACATACTGTGTGAAGTGTAGTGAAGCAGCAGAATGTGAGTCACATATAAAACCTGATATTCTCTTTAATCCAATACTTCTTTTGTTGTTAGTGCCTCTCAAAAGAAGAGATCATCGTTTATCTCTGAACGTATAAAGTATTCTAGATAATATGTTTACAGTATTGAGCTGCAGTGGGCAAAGAGCAGGATTCCACAGTTCTTATGTGGTGCATTAGAGGTTAAATCAATAAAGATGATGCTGTTGTTGTTGAGCTGTGGTGACATAATCAGCTTCTTTGTGATGTTTGAGTTTGAAAGTGCATGCACCCAATTAATGTTTGGATATACTCACAGCTTGAAATGTGTGTGTGTGCGTGTGTGTGTGTGTGTGCGTGTGTGTGTGTGTGTGTGTGTGCATGTGTGTGCGTGTGTGCATGTGTGTGTGTGCATGTGTGTGTGCGTGTGTGTGTGCATGTGTGTGTGTGCATGGGCGTGTGTGCATGTGCATGTGTGTGTGTGCGTGTGCGTGTGTGTGTGT